CACAACCATGCTATAATAATTTGGCATTGGGCAAATCACTTACTCAACTAATTTCTAAAGTATTTTATAATGTATTGCTATGTGATGTATCTATGCATGCTTTATCTACCACTGGAGTTAACTGAGTACTTTAAGATACTGAGTAACCTATGGAAACAAATGCCTGAAGTGTTGGCAAACTGTAAAGGGACAGAGTCAATAGTTTTCCTTTTACCAGAAAATTCACCTCTGTTGCATCACCTTAACTCTGCTCTTTTACTGAAATATGTAAATGAATAGTGGTGGCCATGTTCCAATAAAAATTTACTTACAAAAACAGGCATGGGTGAGATTTAGCCCATGGGCTGTAATTTGCAGATTCTTTGAAAACCGTTTGCAAGATTCTATCATGGAAGACTATTTTGACTGGTATAATGAAAGTGTGGGAAAAGTTACGTAGGAGGGAAATGGCCGAAGCCTGATCATTGAAGACTAGTCCAAGGGAGATGTTATGAGAAGCAAGATGCTCACCACCTAATTGCACTTCACTTACATTTTCTACTTAGTTCTGATCAAACTCTTATGTGGTTGTTGTTTGGTGCCCTGGAGTCAATTACAACTCATATGAACAACAAACACATTTGAACCTACTCTATCCTGAGACATCTCCACAGTATTTTCCAAACTCAAGGTCATTGTTGCAATCATTGAGTCAGTCCTCTCATAGATGGTCTTCTCTTTCACTGGCCCTTCACTTCTCCTAGCATGATGTCTTTTTCCAAGGACTAGCCCCTTCTGACAGACACATGCTCACAGTGTGTTGAGATAAGCCTTGGGTGGTAGGCATTAAGGTCCCTCTTTTCCAGATTTTTAAGAATATAATAAATGCTTGATTGACTAAACTAGAGAGCCAGCTTTCAAACAGACAACTGTCTCACTCCAATGCCCAGGCTGTTTTTATGGTACCACTGCCTACTGACCTTCACCAGGGCTTCCTCTTTGGGGGTGGATGTTAGTGTTTCACATCCACACAGGGCCTGAAAGGACCAAGGTAGGGGGTGGGGTGGGGATATGCAGGTGGAGCAACTTCTTTATCTAATTGGTCAGTCAAGCAAGTCTTGCATGCATCCAACCTCGGGGCTGCCACCTACATGTGCCAGCAGTTCTGAGCTTTGTCACGCTAATCTCTGATCTTAACCAAAACCCAAGCTCACATCAACTCCACACATAGAGGTCATGGGCCAGGCAGAGAGGAGGCAACAGATTACAAAATGAATGTTTACTTAACCCTTTCCAGAGCTTCAGAGTACAGTCATTTCAGCTCATGCCTCGAGGGTGTTTTCTGAAAAAAGAAAGTGCTTCTTCAGCACTCTTGGTGTTTAATTTCAAGCCCTGCCCTTCCACCGGGTGATTCTAAGTGGGCTGACAAGGCTGCCCTGTTCTTACTGGTTTTCCCACAGAGTTTAGTCACCCAGCTGCCCTTGATGACACATTTGGGTCCCTGGTCAGAGAGGTGTCATGCCCTGAGGCCTTTTCTAATCTCTCTTTAGACTCCAAAGGACAATTACAGAGAATATTTACTTGCATTTATTTGAGAGTGTAGAAATAGTAACCTGATTTATTCCAAAGACATGTCCACAGCCCGTTATTCCATTATGATGAGCTCACAATTGTGGTCTTTCTGTTGGAGGGAGTTTGCTGTAGCTTCCTGACCTCATAGTGCGAGTAGGAAGCATACCTCAAGGCATGCTCATTGGGGAATATGGAGCTTCTGTCACGGTGATGGTCTATTTTGATCATGCTGGGAAAGGTGGAGGGTCAGAGAAAGAGAGGAAGACCCTCAACAAAAAGGACTGACACGGTGACTGTGACGCATCAGAGATGGCAGGGATGATGCAGGCTCAGCCAAAGTTCAGATCAACTGTTCACAGTGATGCCACGAGTCACAGCTGACCCGAAGACACCTGACAACAAAGTCTATTTTTGGCTGATCAATATAATGAACATAATTAATGTCACTGAAGCATACATGTAAAGACTACTGAAATATCAAATATTTTGTTAGATGTTTAGTTACCACAATTTCTCACTTGTTCATTGTCATGGAGTCAGAACTGACTCATCTCTGACCCTGCAGCTATTTCTGAAGCTGAAAATTGCATGAAAGAATCTTTCCAACTTATTCTTTCAACCTTCCAGGAGAGGGGTGGCTTTGGGATTAGCAGCACGACTCCCCACAGCCTACACTACCAGAGCTCCCCTTTATGACAATATTTCTTAAATAAAATAAGCCCATTATTGTAAAAATGGAGAGATAACTAATAAAACCTTTATGAGAGTCCAAGGAGGGGTAAGAATGAGTAGGGGAGAAACCATAGGGTCACACAGTTTGGTGAGTGGAGAGACAGGATAAAGGAAATGCGAAAGATTCAGCAGGGACCTGAAAAGATGGGGTGATGGTGGGTATAGACCAATGGTGATTAATTTTATAAAACAAAATGTGTGGGAATGATGGTATGACATATAATGTCAATGAAGGAAAGGGTGAAAATACACACACACACACACACACACACACACACACACAAACACTAAAATAATGCTGTCAAAAAAGAAAAGAAACTCCAGAACAGGGGGGAAAGTAGTCTATAGTGACAAAAAGTTGTTTATTGGTTAAGAAAGACTGAGGTTGGGTGGGAAGGGGCATAAGGGAGCATTCCTCTTTGATAGTATTATTTTATAGCTTGACTATGATATTTGACCACACTGATGTTTCTATTTGTCAAAGCTTAACAAGCTATATACTTAAAAGGAATGCATTTTATTGTACACAAATTATACTTTCATAAAGTTAATTTACAAAAGCTAACAAAACTTCTGTTAATCTTTGAGGAGAATTTCAAGCCATACAGTGTGTCACTATCAGAATGCAGCAGTTACGAACACAGGGAAGCAGGCCAAATCTAACGTTGTGAAAGCAGAACCAGAGCACGCAAGATCACGTCCATAGCCCTGCAGCCTGCTAAGGCTAACGCAACACAACAGATATTATTTTTACTCCTATTTTACATGTGTAGACAATTTTAAAAGTAGCCCTAGGTGACTACTAGCAAAAAGATTGGCGGTTTGAATCTACTCAAGGGGACCCAGGGAAACAGTCAGGCAAGCCAATTCTGAAAAGTCACAGCCCCAATGGAGCTGTTCTTTTACCCTGCACTACACAATATCACTGTAAGTCAGAATATACTCCACAATGACTGGCAACACAGAGATTTAAAAAAAAAAATACAAGGGCTTGCTAAGATTTACTCAGCTCCTTAGCTGAAGCAAGACTTCTTCCAAAGGTTCACATGAGACCTGGATGAATGACATGTGAGTACATAGGGAGGTGCCACAGCTCCAGAAAACATGACATGACATATAACATGACAGCTGCTGGGCCTGCCTGGACTGAACTCCCCAGGTGGTACAAACAATTAACACACTTGAGAGTTAACCATAAGGTGGGTGCTATTGTAATGTGCCATCGCATAGGAACCAACTCGTAGCTGATCCTCTGGCAGGTTTTCAGAGGCTATAAATCACACAAAGGAGAAGATTGCTCATCTTTCTCCCTCGGGACTGCTGGTGGATTAAAAGTATTTGCCTTTGGGTTGGCAGCACAACTCCTTAGCCACTAAGCCACCAGAGACCCCTGAATGAAGGGTGAGAGGTTCAAATTCATGAGAGCCCTATGGTCGCTTATGTTCTACTTGGATACACCTAGTATGTGTTAGAGTTGGTTCTACAGCAACTGGTCCACCTCTCCTGTACATAAAACAAAGCCCAAAACACTGCCATCTAGTCTATAATAAAGACACCCTTGGTTGTCTGGAGCTGTAAATATTAACAAGAGCAGACTGTTTCATCTTTCTCCTATGGATTTGCAGGTGGATTAGAACCACTGACTTTTAAGTTAGCAGCACAGTATGTGATACATTCTCTTCAGACCTTAAAGAAACCAATGGACTAATCTTAAATAATAAATAAAGATGCAAACAAATACTCTCTAGTTCATCTAGAATCTCTTAGATTATGTTCTCTGAAATAGGGCGTGCATGACTGAAAATAGTATCTTAAAGTATTAAGTGCATTTAAAATGAAGATAATGCTAACTCCTGGTAGTGTTTCTTTATTGAGAAAGTACAGAGCTGAGCCTCACTGAGGATAATTCTTATGAGCACATTGAGGTGAGTTTTTAACCTCAGGAAAGAAATCTTGCTGATTCCTCCCCCCCCCCCCGGACGAATCAAAGTATTAATAACCTGTGTTTGTTCCTACATAATGGAAGAGAAAGTTTCCAATTATTCCATCAAACTCCAGGAATAAAAGTCAAAGTTCAAGATTAGTGCACTGTCCCATTCCATGGGGACAAACAAGGCCATCACAGAACAGGGGCAAGAATGACAAAAGGCAAGATGGTGGCGCAAACCAAGATATGCCTCACAAAACCAAGTTTCCACATTGTCCCGTGTATTTGCAGAAAGGAAAAACAAACAAACAAAAAACCGACACTCATGCTCCAGGCAGAAAGCTAATTACTTCCACCAGGAGCAGGCCCACAGCACTAAAAAACAGGCTGCAGAGTGGTTGTTTATAAAAATAAAGTCACTGGTGTGAGGAACTCCATGACTTTCCCCTCGCAGCCCCAACCCAGTATCACCGTTGGCTTTTTGTGAATCATAGGCTGCCCTTTCTTCATCACAGTGATTCACACAGAGGCAGATATGCAATGAGCTGTCCCACCTTGGAACACAGTTCGTTCCCCTCCCAGCTTGGAAAATGAGCATCACTTTTGACAGGTTAGTTTCTCCACAGGCTCCATCTCACCCACCTCACCCTCCTCGCCCCTGGCTTGACACCCACAACCCTCGCTGAACTCCCATGGCCACCACCATCTGTTGAGTTTCCAGCCACCAGATGAACTCCCTGGCCTCCCCGGAGCTTGCTTGGCTCTGAGCAGCCGCGGCCACCCCACTTACGTTTTTGCCAGAGCATGGTCTGTGACAGGATGTTGCCTTTTCTCTTTGAAGCAGACAGCTTGGCTTCTTTAATGTGAGGCCTGGGTGTGCTTTCCTCTAGTGTAGCCACTGCTCTCTCAGAGGATGTTTCCTCGGCTTTTTAAAAGCCCGAGTTCCCGCTGTGTGGGGGGACAGCGTCATCACATCCTCCCACCGCAGGCACGGGCGCTCTTGCTCTTCTGTGACACGGCCTGTCACCCCACTGTGTGCCCTCAGCGCCCGCTGGCTGCAGACCCCTTCATGCGAGGAGCCAGTCAGCTGGGTTTGGTCAACAACACGCTATAGAAGGCCACGGGTGTTTGGATGTGGCCACAAGATGTGGTGTAAGACACATGGTGAGAAAGTGTGCTTCAGGGTGAACTGGCCAAGTACATATGTTTCCCTCTTTTGCCTCCTCACACCATGATGAACACAAGACGACCCCCTGAAAACGGTGGGTTTTCTGTGGTGGCTGTTCAGAGACTTCCACACCCCCAGGGTGTAGCAGGGTTCAGCTCGCCATGGGCTCCTGCTCGACGGACGGGAAATGAGATTCCCAGGGGTCACTGCTTCTCAACACAGGAGGAAGCACCTGTAGACTCTTCACGCCTCACTGAACAACCTCCTTATCCTCTTAAGACTGTATTGCTTTTTTATTTCATTTTGAAACATAATAGCCCCCACACACCACCAGCAGCAGCCACGATCAAAATGACCAAGCTTGACTATTCTTAAATATGGGGACCCGGAGCCTGCTGGTTGGTGAGCCAGAGAATGGGGCCAATTCCCTCAGAGAAGAAAGGAGAGAGCGCCTTGCATTTTTAACCCGAGCTGTTGACCCAAGGGAGGCATGCAAGCCTGACAAGGAGCGGTTAACGTGAAACTTGCCAAAATCACCATAATGAACTCATCACTTAGCAGCATGTGGGGTGTAAGGCCGCAGAGCCCCTTCCCAGATTGAAACCTTCCGCCGCTGTGTATTTGAAGGCCTGCAGGCTTCGGTAGTACAATTGGTTTGTAGTGGAGACCACCTAAGGCAGGTCTGCAGTCTGCTGCGCTGCTCTCCACCCTGCCTCAGAGCGATCTTGTACAACCTAGATTGGATCACGCCTTTTCCTCCAAAAAGCATTTCTCCCCTTGGCCTGCAGAGCTGGAGGTAGAGAAGTCCCTCATAATTTTGCTTTAGCCTACCTTCTTCACCTCATTTCCCACATAACCGTCTAATGTTGTTGTTGTTGTGTACCATAGAGTCAGAACCCGCCCATAGCGGACCCTTCCGTGGGTTTTCAGAGGCAGTTAATCACGTGGGAGGAGGCTGCCCGTCAGTCTCCTGTGGACAAGCTGGTGGCCTCGAACCACGTGTTTTTGGCATTGCAGTGCGGCTTCTTGCCACTAGCTCCCCGCACCCAGCTCCCTGCCCCTGTAATTGAGATCCCACATATCCTATAAGCACTTCTTCACATCCATGCACTTCCCTGCGTTTCATCTTGTCTTCTCTCGCTGGTGTCTTCTCCGTCTCTTTATCTGAACACTGCCTCTTTATTGTTTTCAAATGGAATCGTTTTGGTAAAATTAAAATTTCTGACCCACCAAGCCCAGGGCACAAAAAACTAGTCCATCAGTCCCAGAGCTTTCATCTGTTCACTATTTTTAGGTAAGTTTCTACATGACTGTGTAGGTTCTTCAAGGCTGGTTTCAGCTTTGTTCCCCAAGAGCCTCATATAGGGCCTGGAGCCTACCTGATCTTCAATAAAAACTGATTTGATGAAGTATTGGATTTTTGTCTCTACTGAGTTATTTATTTGAGAACAGGCACTAAGGAGAAATACAACCCCTTAATATGTCAATGAGTCCTTCTAACTGAAGCAGGTCTATTAGAAGCTGTTGTGAGACCTCACCTCCAGGCTTCTAAACTTCAGGACATGGAGCACCCAGTGCTGTAGGTGGCTGACAGCACCATGGACTGGCAGGTAGCAGGGTCACAGCCAGGCCTTGGAAGGCTATGGAGAAGCTTCCCCTGGAAAAAGTGGTACATCCACCAGGCCTGGCTCAGTCATAGGAGATGTGGGTTCCCAGAAAGGATTGCTATTCAACTGACTTCATGCCCTTAAATAAGTCATGTGAGCCTCTGAGTCTCAGTTTCTTTGTTTATAAAATGAAGAAACAGTTCTCTGAATGTCTGACAGGGTTCGAAGGAAGACGAGTAGTCTACCTACTTATCTCACCTTGCTCTGTATTCTCTCCAAGTTCCAGAAAGTTAAAAACTTTTTCTTAACCATTGTTCTTTCTCCCCACAGGCCTAGCATAATGATTTCCACAAACGATAACGACTTGCTCTGCCCCAGTCCCATGGTAAACCTTTCTAGAAAGTCACCACAAGAGCTCTGCCAGGAAACTTCTCTATATATTTTCCAGAGAAACAATCACTGTGGAAGTTCAATTTGCCCAATATAACAAGGCTGGGAGTTGGTCGGCTGGATGTCAGACTCAAGATATTTTTACCAGAGCCTGAGTTCTATTTAATCGTACTAATTCAACGGACATTGAAATTAAGTTGAAATGAGTGAAGTGTCAGCTACATTAACTAGTAATATTATAAGCTCATTGTTATTAGAATATGGAGCAGATCAACAGAAACTTCCCCACTTAACTGTCATCTCTTCATCTCTCAAAAAAGCAACTTACCTGACATCTTTTTGATGAGGTAATATCTGACCCATCAAAATGCCTGTTGTTGTTGTTGTTGTTGTTGTTGTTGTTGTTATCTGCTGTTGAGTTGCTTGTGACTCATAGTGACCCTATGTACAAGAGTCTAAACCTTGCTCTATCCTGTAACAGTCTTATTGTCTCTGACACACCTACCCCCCATTACTCCAGTTCCTGAATTGATACATCTCATCGACGGTCTTCCTTTCTTGTGCTGCCCCTCCACCCTCCCAAACATGACATCCCTCTCCAAGGACTCACTGGTCCCTCTTTGTACCATGTCCCAAGTATGTCAAACGAAGCTTCAGAATCTTTGCCTCCAAGGAGCAGCCTGGTTTCACTCTCTCCCAGACAAACCTGTTTACTCTCCTGGTAGTCCATGGTATATTCATCACTATTCTCCAGCACCACAGCTCAAAGGCAGCAATTCTCTTCCTATCATCCCTACTCATTATTCAGCTGTCTAAAGTATAGCAAGCAATTGAGAAGACTGTGGCTTGGATCAGGTACCCCTTAGTCTCCAGACTAATGTCATTGCTCTTCAGTCCTCTGGAGAGGCCCCTGACAGCTGACTTTACCAATTTCTTGATTTCCTGGCTGCTGGTACCAAAATTGTTAATTGTGGAGACAAGTAAACTAAAACTATAGGTAGCAACATCGAATCTATTGGTCATTTCTCTAACTGGGCAAATATACCTTTGCATTTGCAGTGCCAATTCCTGACCACTGTAGCCCTGAAGCAAATCAAAGGGAAGTAAGAATATACTCATGGGTTTTTTTTTTCTTTTATTAAAGGAAAATAGAGCTATTGATAAATGTAAGAAACTGGTAGAGGAAAATAATTAAAACAAATCTATGAATTTGAAGTACAAGGTAACTACATTACAAGCAAAAATAGAACTTTTAATCTTCAAACCAGCAAAAGGAAGCTAGAATTTTCCAGTGGAATATAGGAAAAAGAATTTTAAAAACACAGTGCAAAAGTACAAGTAAGATGGCAAGAGAAAGTCTAACAATACAATGACTACAATGGACATAAAAAGGCTAAGCCATCAATGAAAAGAAATAGAATCCCAGACTGAATTTACATTTTTAAAATAGATGTTGTCTCCTGGAAGAGGATTTTTCTTTTTAAAATTTGCAGATAGAAACCAAATGAAAACCATGTACTCCTATGAGTTGATAATGATTCAGAGCAGAACCGCCTTATAAAATTCCCAAGGCTAAAGTCATCAGGGAAGTAGATTACCATGTCCTTTCCCGCAGAGCAGCTGGTGGGTTCAAACTGCCAACCTTTCTGTTAACAACTAAACACTTAATCCCCTTAGTTACCTGGGTTCCTGCAAGTAAAAACCCAACACAATCTTCATTTGTGAATCCAACATGTGATGCCAAAATGAGTGCCTCTCTGTTTCTAAGCAGTAGGCATATTTACAAATGGAAAAGTAGTAATGTAAAGAAAAACTCTTTTCTGCCATTATTTCATTGACTGTGGAGAAGCTATTTAACATGTTGCCACAAATGACAGTAATATATCGGGAAAAAAATGTGTTTCTAAGCATGGTCGTCAATTTAAAAGTGTGCAGCAATGTGTAATCATATAGTGTTCTTATATGTGAAATACGAAAGTTAGGCTAAGAGATTCCGAGAATCCTTGTTGCTTTCGTATTTAATTATTTCATTTCTGTAGCATGTGGGAACTTCAAAACCAGTCTCCAAAACCAGATTAGGTCAATAAAAGAAAATTAATTACCCATTTTATTTGTGAACAAAGATTCAAAAATCCTAAAGAAAATATTAGTTTGTTGAATCTAACAGCTCACTAAGAAAATACAACATGATAAGATTTAACCTGGAAATACAGTATGGTTTAAAAGAGAAATATAACAAAGTAATTGACTATCTTAATAAAGTGTAAGAGAAAAATTATGATATTATCTTTATCAATGCAGAAACTTTTCATAAAACCCAACACTTCTTTTTCATTTTTCTAAAAAAAATAGAAAAAGAAAATTAGTGTCAGAAGATAATTTCCTTCGCAGCATAAAGTTTGTGTACCAAAAATCCACAATAATATTACACATAATCATTAAAGGGTATGTGAATTCCCTTTAAGAACAAGTATAATTACTTTCCAAACATTTCTTATACACATTTTCCCCCAGAAACATACTGTGAGCACAGCAAAATAAAATACACTCACATTGCATCATGTATTATGTTAAGAACAATTTTAAGTTTAGGAATATAAAGATGAATTTTAAAAATTGTTGCCATCCTATAATCAGGTTTTGGCACTGAGCTGATGGTGCACCTCTTTAAGGTCTATTGTTTTTATTAGGTGCCATCTAGTCTAGTACAACTCATAGCTACTCTATGAATA